GTTAAATGAGCTGTGTAGGTACAATACCTTGAACAAGATTAGAAATGTATGTACAGTATGTTTCAGCAAAATTAATCTCAACTTTGTATCAATATACAAAATTTGTATACAACATTCAAAAGTCAATCCAATGTAAAACATTTAAAACTAGTAGTTGCATTTTAAAAGTAGATTCAATAATCTATCTTTTAATCTTAACATATCTATATCCTTCCTTTTTATTTTCAGAGTAGATTCAATAATCTACCCTTTTATCCTATCATAACTATATCCCCCCTTTTTCCTTTTCAAAACAAGAACTTTGAATCTAATTTCCTTTGTTTAGTTTTTTTCTGACCATTATCCATAACAACTTGTAACCAACACACTAAACAAAGACAAACATCCATAATCCATTTAACCAAACACCACCCATCCTGCCACTTGGGAATGTGGGTATTGTTTTCTAGGCTACTTCTTGCTGACTGGAGGCACTGATAATTTATGGGGACCTGAAGAAAATTTAGGATTATGATCAAGTCCTGACTGAAGTATTCTGTGAGGCTGGATCATCTCAGCCAGCAGGGTTGAAGCTGTTCTGGCTGTAGAACTCAGAGGAAACTGCAGCAGAGGTGCTCTGAAATGTTGGATCATCTGGTCTATCTGTTCCTAATGGAGATTTTTCAGGGGGTCTTCCTTGATAAAAACCTTATTTTTCTTAACCCAGAATGAATGCACAGACTCTCATTTCTTGTGGAAACAAAAGCAAAACCTCTTCTCCAAAGTAACATCTTTTGACTTAAATTGTGAAGTAAAGGCATTTTCAAAATATATAAGTTGGATTAATATAGCAGCATTTATAATCAAATGTCTTTTAGCAGTTGTTGCTCTTTCCTCAGCAGTAAAACAATTCAAAGACAACACAATAGCATACAGTGTCCAGATGCTCTGTGTATTTTCTATCTTTACATAGAAGCTAAGGCAGAGCGGATGGGAGCTGGGAGCACTAGTTCTCCTCCTGAACCCAGGTGGCTAGGTTTGGGTTCCAATTCCTAGAGCTCTGGCCTGGGCTGGTGGCTAAAAAGCCTCAGACAAACAGGGTTTTTTTTTTGTAAATTTGGGCCCCACATTGGGTCCCAAATGAAGCACAATTAATCGAAACTCAGGAAGAGAAATTGGGGTTCAACCTGAAGAATAGAAAAGCAAAGCAACCAGCCACAGGCTCTTACCTCTACCTCAGTCCAAAATGGCAATCCTGCCTCCATGAATCTCAGAATGAGACTGTGACTGTTAGCTATCTCCTCCCATTTTGTAATTCTTTCTAGGGCTGGGATTAAAGGCATGCACCAGTACCACCCAGTTTCTATGGCAACTAGTGTGGCTACTGGAAGTAAAGATGTGTGTCACCACTGCCTGGTCTATAAGGCTGACCAGTGGGGCTTTTTTTTATTCTCTGATTTTCAGGCAAACTTTATTTATTAAAATACAAATAAAATGCTAATACACTCATGCTTACATGTCAAGCATTGTACTTACTGGGAGATTTTCTCAGCTCAATTCAAGTCACCTTTAAACACATTTTTAATGGAGGAAGAGACCTTGAAACCTCTTGCAAGAAATTTGGTTACATCGTGCAAAGATATGTCTTTGTGATTGGTTTAATAAAAACTATCTAGGAGGCATAAGTGGGAATTTCAGTTGCCAGCTGGACACAGAGGAAACAGGACATACAGGAGGAGAGGTAAAAACCATGAACCATGTGACAGCATGTAGGTTAATAGAAATGGGTTAAGTTATAAGGGCTAGTTAGGAACAAGCCTAAGATAAGGCCAAGCTTTTCTAATTAATAAGAAGTCTCTGTGTCATTATTTAGAAACTGGCTGGTGGGGCAGAGAAAGAGTCATTATAGAAACATAAAGAGCTTAAGACCCACAAAGATCATAATATACTGTAAGGTGTGATGTGTCTGTAATCTAACCCTCTAGATGCTGAGGCTAGAGGATCATGAGTTGGAGGCCAACCTGAGCTACATACATAGCAAGAGCTTGTCTCAAAAATCAATTAATACCTTTAGCGGGATTGGGAGAGGGAATTTGGGGTAGGTATGACCAAAATGCATCAGATACATCTATGAAATTATCAAAAACAAAAGATTTTAAAAGAAAATCATAATATGGCCCTGATTAGCCCCAAATCACATTGTCAACAGCTGGGCATGGTCCAGCTGACATCTATAAGGTCAGAACTTTGGGACTAGGGAAGAAGCAATAGGATCATGAATTCCAGGCCCTCTATGTTATATAGCAAGACTCTGTGGTGGCTTGAATAGATATGACTGTATAGACTCATACATTTGAATGCTTGGTGATGCGGGATTTCCCTCTGTATGCTATGAATATGTTTTATTACGATTGGTTAATAAAAAAAATCTGCTTTGGCCTATAACAGGGCAGAATAGAACTAGGCAGGAAAACCAAACAAAGATATATATATATATATATATATATATATATATATATATAGAGAGAGAGAGAGAGAGAGAGTAGGCAGTATAAGAGAGATACCATGTAACTGCTGAAAGAGACAGATGCCCAAAACCTTTCTGGTAAGCCACAACCTCGTGGCGATATACAGATTAGTAGAAATGGGTTAATTCAAGCTAGCTAGAAATATGCCTGAATCATTGGCCACACAGTGTTGTAATTAATATTGTTTTGTGTGATTATTTGGGTCTAGGTTGCCAGGATATAAACAAGCTATCTCCATTTACAAAATGTCCACCATCTGGGGAATGAATCCACATAAGACCTAAAAGGCTTTTAAAAAAAAAAAAAGGTTTCTAGACCCACAAAAATGGGAGCCAAGGCCAAGCATAGCTTCTTGGTAGCTTGCTGTGGGACAATGGTATCCTGTCAATTATATTTTAAACAAACACTCATTAGCCAATAGCCAGGCAGGAAGTATATGTGGGACAACCAGGCAGGAAGTAGAGGCAGGGTGACGAAAACAGGAGAATTCTGGGAAGAGGAAAGCTGATTTGGCAGTCATGATTCAGTAACAAAAGAAACAATATTTGACTACCTTGCTGAATAAGGTACCGAGCCACGTGGCTAACATAGACAAGTATAATGGGCTATAAGTTGTAAGAGTTAATAAGAAGTCTGAGCTAATGGGCCAATCAGTTTATAATTAATGCAGACCTCTGTGTGATTTTTTTTTGGAACTTAATGACTGCTGGAACCAGACAGGACAGAAACCTAGGTCAACAGTATCTGCATTTTTTTTCAGATAGGCTTTATTTGCTAGCAGTGAGCAGAGGTGCAGCTCCTTTAAGAGAAGGCTTCCTGACTCAGTGTTAGCCACAAAAACTGCATGACTTCTTTTTTTTCAAATATTTATTTATTTATTATGTATACAATATTCTGTCTGTGTGTATGCCTGCAGGCAAGAAGAGGGCACCAGACTCCATTACAGATGATTGTGAGCCACCATGTGGTTTCTGGGAATTGAACTCAGAACCTTTGGAAGAGCAGCAATGCTCTTAACCTCTAAGTCATCTCTCCAACCCCACTGCATGACTTCCTTAAGAGATGGCATCTCTGATTCTTTCAAGAGGTCCTGCATCTAAATGGGGCCTGTGAATAATGTGTTGCCAATGATTTAATTAATACAATTTCTGTGTAATTATTTCGGGGCTAAGCTAGCCAGACAGCCGGGACAAACAAGTAGCCTTCCTTGCAACATGTTACAAATTACTTAATGGTCACATAGGCCCACTGTGTCCCTGCAAACTTTAGATTCACAAAGAAATATTGTAACTGTAATTCTTGCTTGATACCTGTTTTGTTATATGTAATGTAATAATGTTAAATTTATTTTCTTTTCTTTTAGACAAAAAGGGGAGATGATGTGAGTAATAAAAATAATAGTTTTATTACTATTGGTTAATAAAGAAGCTGCTTCAGCCTATGGTAGGGCAGAATAGAACAAAGTGGGAAAAACCAAACAAAGATATATAGAGAGAATAGACAGAGTAAGAGAGATGCCATGTAGCTGCTGAAGGAGACAGACACCTTCTTTTCAGTAAGTCACAGCCTCATGGTGATACACAGATTAATAAAAATGGGTTTATTCAAGATGTAAGAGCTAGCTAGAAATACACCCGAGTCATTGACCCAACAGTGTTGTAATTAATGTTGTTTGTGTGTGACTATTCAGGTCTGGGCAGCTGGGAAACAAATGAGCTGTCTCCATTTACAGCTTGGCCCATAGGGAGTAGCACTATTGGGAGGTGTGGACTTGTGGCATTAGGTGTGGCCTTGTTGGAGGAAGTGTGTCACTGTGGGGTGGGCTTTGAGGTCTCATATATGCTCAAGCTTCACCCAGTACACAGTATCTCCTTCTACTGCCTGCAGATCAAGATGTAAGAACTCTCAGCTCTTTCCTCAGTACCATGTCTGCCTGTATGGTGCCATGTCCCACCATGATGATAATGTACTAAACCCCTGAAAGTGTAAGCCCGTCCCAATTAACTGTTTTCCTTTATAAGAGTGCCATGGTCATGGTGTCTCTTCATAGCAATAGAAACCTATCTAAGACATCCTATCTAAGAAAAAAAAACAGAAGAGAGACAAGACAAGGTCAAGCAGGCCTCAAGAGACTAATATCCTTTTAGACTAGATGCTTCTAATCTGAGGATGGAAATGGAGTCTTTCTTTCCCTCCTAGTGCCTGATTCATAGAAGATAGAGCAGAGAACATGGAAATGAACCATGCTGAGTCAGTTCAGAGTGCTTTACATAATATTACATAATATTGCTATGGTTGAACAGGATGCCTCTCCAAAATTCATATGTCAGATATTAAGAGGTGGACCTTTAAGGGGTTAGTCCAGGAGGGCTATGCCCTCATGAATGGGACTAAGACACTTAGAAAAGTACTTCAGGGAGCAGCCTGTGCCTCTCATATTTTATTTCATGTGAGGTCACAACAGTCAATCTTTCTACCTCCTACCTTTTTCAGACACACCAAGAAGACACCATCTGGATACAGAGTGCAGCCTGACTTCATCAAATACAGAATCAGGTGGTGCCTTGTTCTCTCCCTATCCTTTGGGCACCTTGAAAAATATATCTTTCTCCCCATCACTCCCTCTTTCTCTCTCCTTTTCTTCTTCTTCTTCTTCTTCTTCTTCTTCTTCTTCTTCTTCTTCTT